GACTAACTAGCTCAGCTTGTACAAGGCATGATGGCAAATGTGGATTTAGTTTGAGCTTCGTCCAATGGGTACCTTAAACTTCAGAAAAGCCATTCTCAGAAAGGCTGAGAAAAATGTAACTGATAAGAGTCTAATATCTAAAATATATAGAAAACTTCCACAACTTAACAGCAAAAAGATAACCAATCAAAAACTGGACAAAGGACATGAATGGACACTTCATAAAATCAGACACTGAAATGGCCAACAGACACGTGAAAAGGTGCTCAACGTCATTAGTCATCAGAAAAATGCAAATCAAAACCACAGTGAGATACCATTTTACTCCCACTACGATGCCTGAGATTTAAAAAAAAAAAAAAAAGGAAAATAACAAGTATTGGAGGGGATGTGGAGAAATTGGAACCCTCATCCACTGCTGGTGGGAATGCAAAATGGTACAGCTGTTGTGGAAAACAGTCTGGCTCAAAAAACTAGAGGTAGAGGTGGAACTGCCATATGACCCAGCAGTTCCACTCCTAGGCATATACCCTAGCGAACTAGTAGCAGTGACACGAACAGACATATGCACACCCACATTCATTGCAGCACTATTCACAGTAGCAAAAAGATGGAAGCAACCTAAGTGCCCATCAACGGATGAATGGATAAGTAAAATGTGGTACATACATGTAATGGAATACTACTTACTGATAAAGAAGATTGAGTTCCTGAAACATCTTGGAACATGAATGAACCTGGAGGACATTATGTTGAGTGAAACAAGTCAATCACACACATACAAAAAAACCCCAATATTGTATGTTCTCATTTTTATGAAATGACAGGAACAGGTAAATATACGGAGAATAACGTTCTTTAGTGGTCTGTGGATGGTGGGGAAAAGGGGGATTCACTCTCTAGATAGTAGACATTTGTTATTTTTGGTGAGGGGAAAGGTAACATCGAATGAGGATGAAGCGTACACAGTTTGACAAAGGTAAATGATGTGACTAAACTGTGCACAAGAAAAAAAAGAATGGTTAGAAATTGCTATGCCATATATAATTTTGAAACAACAGCAGCAACAATGGAAAAATATATATGTGGGTATATATGTATGTAGGCATATTTGTGTCTAGGTATGTATATGTGTGTGTATAGACATATATAATAAAGCATATGGGGGCACAGTTACAGATACTTTTTAGATATAATCAGACACCTCATGGCATCACTTTTCTGGGTTTGAAGGCTTAGGACCATAGTCTCATGGAATATCTTGGTCAATTAGCATAATATACTTTATAAAATTACGTTCTGTATCCTAGTTTGGTTAGTAGCGTCTGGGGTCTTAAAAGCTTGTGAGCAGCCATCTAATAAGATAGAACTATTGGTCTCTACTCATCTGGAGCAAAAGAGAAAGAAAGAAACCAAGGACTCAAAGAAGAAACTAGTCCACAGGACTAATAGTCTGCATGAACCATGGCCTCTTCTACCCTGAGACCAGAACTAGAAGGTACTGGCTACCACTACTGACCGTTCTAATCAGGCCCACAATAGATGGACCCTGATAGAATGGAGAAAAAATGTGGAACAGAACCTCAAATTCCTTTAAAAAAAAAAACAGACTTATTGGACTGGTTGAGACCGGAGGACCCCCTGAGACTATGGCCCTGAGATACTCTTTAAACCTTGAACTGAAACTAACCCCTAAGGTCACCTTGTAGCTAAATAACACATTGGACAAACACTGCATGATGTCGCTTATATGAAAAAGCAAACATACAGAAACTAAAGATTATTAATGGTTACCAGGAATAGGAGGGTGGGGGAAACGGGAGATTTTCATTATGTTCATGGTGGCGAAATATTTTGGAAAAGGAAAGCGATAGTGGTGGTACATCATGAAAAATGTAATCAGTGTCATTTAATTGTAAATATGGAACTTGTTACGCTGGCAAATTTTTTGGTGTGTACGTTTTCACCACAATTAAAAAAATTTTTTTAAAGGAAAAAAAAAAATAACGAACAATAGGGAAGTTTGAAAGCTTTCCGTTAGGCATTCTCGGACAATTTGAGTACCAAATCATTAAAGACAGTAATTAATTATAAGCCACTGAAAAATAGGAATTCATAAGTCCATACTGATAATAAAAAATTAAGAAATAGAGAAGGGAGGGCTCCTGCTGACCATAGAATTCCGAGTGCTGACTGGTAAATGTGGAGGGAACGCTGGAGTTCAGGTATGTATCACCAGTGGAAGTTCTGATGAAGAACAGGTTGTTTGCATGGTTTTACAGGGCCACCCGGACGATTACATTATTAGTTGCAAGGGAAAAAATAGTAATGATATGGTGGAAAAATCAGACGATACCTTAAGGAGTGATGAAAATGAACATCCTTGTGAGGAGCACGTGGATATCGCATGTGTCAGAGGAAAAGGACACCATCCTTCTTGTGTAGTAGTCAGTCAGAGAATGCACAATCAGAGTCTATTCATGAGGAAACATCAGACAAACCAAAAGTAAGGAGTGTTCTTTTTTTAAAAAGGAGGTGAGTACTTACTCTTCCAAAATGTCAGTGACAGAGATGTCAAAGAGAAAGGCCATAGAAATGGCTCAGGTTAAAGAAGACTAAAGAAACCTGACAACTAAGTGCAGTATCTGATCCTAGATTGACTCTTGAATGGGAGGCAAAAGAAAATACTCTAAAGGACAATATCGGGTTGAGTTGGTTGACAAAATTGGAATATAGACGTGATTAAATCGAAGTATTATATCAGTGTGTATAGTGGTTATGGAAAAGAGTATCTCTGATCTTAGGAAATACACATGAAGAATTTAGGGGTAAAGGACCATCATGTATGCAACTGCTCTCAAATAGTTGAGAAAAAATATATGTATTTTTTAATGGTAGAATACGCTTTATTTCTGAAACTTTTTGATTTATAGAATTAATTTTTCTTTGAACAACTTGTAAGATTACTCTTTAAAGAAATACACTTTGAGGAAGATTGATATAAAAGTACATCCAGGCTTAAGCATCTAAGATATCAAAATCTGAAGTTACAGATAGATGTTGTTAGGTGCCGTCCAGTCAGTTCTGATTCATAGCCACCCTAGGTACAACAGAATAAAACACTGCTCAGTCCTGTGCCATCCTCACAATTGTTGTTATGCTCGAGCCCGTCATTGCAGCCACTGTGAGAATCCGTCTCCTTGAGGGTCTTCCTCTTTTTCACTGACACTCTAATTTACCAAGCATGATGTCCTTCTCCAGGGACTTGTTCCTCCTGATAACACATCCAAACTACATGAGACGAAGTTTTGCCATCCTCTCTGTCAAGGAGCATTCTGGCTGTGCTTCTTCCAAGACACATTTGTTCGTTCTTCTGGCAGTTCATGGTATATTCAGTAATCTTCACCAACACCATAATTCAGAGGCATCAATTCTTCTTCGGTCTTCCTTATTCATTGTCCATCTTTCACATACATATGAGGCGATTGAAAATACTGTGGTTTGGGTCCGGTGCACCTTAGTTCTCAAAGTGTTATCTTTGCTTTTCAACACTGTAAAGAGGTCTTTTGCTGCAGATTTGACCAATGCAGTCTGTCGCTTGATTTCTTCTTTTCTTCTTCTTGTTTTTTTAAATTATTGTCCCTTAGATGAAGGTTTACAGAACAAACTAGCTTCTCATTAAACAATTAGTACACATATTGTTTTGTGACATTGTTACCAAACCCACGACATGTCAACAGTCTCCCCTTCTTGACCTTGGGTTCCCTATTACCAGCTTTCCTGTCCTCTCCTGCCTTCTAGTCCTTGCCTCTGGGCTGGTGTGCCCCTTTAGTCTCGTTTTGTTTTATGGGCCTGTCTAATCTTTGGCTGAAGGGTGAATCTCAGGAGTGACTTCACTACTGAGCTAAACAGGTGTCCAGCGACCATACTCTTGGAGTTTTTCCAGTCAGTGTCAGGCCAGTAAGTTTTTGTGAGTTAGAATTTTGTTCTACGTTTTTCTCTAGCTCTGTCCGGGACCCTGTAGTACGATTCCTGTCAGAGCAGTTGGTGGTGGTAGGTAGGCACCATCTAGTTGTACTGGACTCAGTCTGGTGGAGGCTGTGGTAGTTGTGGTCCATTGGTCCTTTGTACTAATCTTTCCCTTGTGTCTTTGGTTTTCTTCATTCTCCCTTGCTCCCGATGGGGTGAGACCAATGGAGTATCTTTCGATGGCTGCTCACAAGCTTTTAAGACCCCAGACACTATTCACCAAAGTAGACGTTGGAACATTTTCTTTATAAACTATGTTATGCCAATTGAGCTAGGTGTTCCCGGAGACCATGGTCTACACAGCCATACTTCTTCATTCATTCATTCATTTAGAAGATGTAAATGGTAAAGCGAATAGGATAAAATGTTAATAGGTGAATCTGGGTAAAGGGTACATGGGTGTTCTTTGTACTGTTCTTCTTGCAACTTTTCTGAAAGTTTGAAATTGCCACATAATTTTAAAAACTAAACAAAGTGTGTCTCTCATAAATAGCATATGGTTATATCTTTTTAATTTCAGCCTGATTAATCAGAGCACATACTTCTTTACATTTAATGTAATCATCGAGATGGATGGGTTTACATGTATCATCTTGGTATTTGTTTTCTATTTTTACCTCTGCTATTTGTTCCTCCTTTCTTATTTTTAGGATTAATTGGGTGTTTTATTATTATTATTTTAGTATTCCATTTTTTATCCTGTATTGGTTTTTGGCTGTACCTTTTTGTATTATTTGCCATTACTCTAGGAATTACAATCTGCATCCTTAACTTATTTCCATCTGTCTTGCCACTTCACTTTCAATGTAAAATCCACTTCCACTTCTCCTTCCCTTTCTGCTGTTGTTATGTATTGCTTCTACATTATGTAATCATATTATAAACTACAATATATACATCATATTATAAACCTCATAATACATTATTTTTGCTTTAATTGACTTTTTTTGGGGGGTGGGGCCTCGGGGCGCTGTGTTAGGGGTGAGTCTAAATGTAGCAAGAAGGTCTGCGTCTTGCTAACCCGTCACAGCCACCGTCGTCGTCGCTGACACTACCTCTGATCTGCAAGAGTCTTGCTGTTCAATACCGGGAAGCTAGCAGGATGTACCCTTTTTATCACAGGTGCGAGCCGTGGCATTGGCAAAGCTATTGCGTTAAAAGCAGCAAAGGATGGAGCGAATATTGTCATTGCCACGAAGACTGCCCAATTACACCCTAAAGTTCCAGGCACAATCTATACTGCTGCTGAAGAAATTGAAGCAGCTGGAGGAAAGGCCTTGCCATGTGTTGTTGATGTGAGAGATGAACAGCAAATCAGTGGTTCAGTGGAGAAAGCAGTCGAGAAATGTGGAGGAATTGATATTTTGGTGAATAATGCCAGTGCTATTGCCTTGAGCAGCACATTGGATACACCTACAAAGAAAGTGGATTTGATGATGAACGTCAACACCAGAGGCACCTACCTTACATCTAAAGCTTGTATTCCTCATTTGAAAACGAGTAAAATTGCTCATATCCTCAATCTCAGCCCTCCACCGAACCTAAATCCATTGTGGTTCAAACAGCACTGCGCTTATACCATTGCTAAGTATGGTATGTCTGTGTGTGTACTTGGAATGGCAGAAGAATTTAAAGGTGAAATTGCAGTCAATGCATTATGGCCTAAAACAACCATACACACTGCTGCTATGGATATGCTGGGAGGAGCTGGTATTGAAAGCCAATGTAGAAAAGTTGATATCATTGCAGATGCTGCATATTCCATTTTCAAAAAGCCAAAAAATTTTACTGGAAACTTTATTATTGATGAAAATATCTTAAAATAAGAAGGCATACAAAATTTTGATGTCTATGCAGTTAAACCAGGTCATCCTTTGATGCCAGATTTCTTCTTAGATGAACTCCCAGGTACAGTTAATGCGAAAATGGAATCACGTGATGCTGCTCCATCTATCAAAGAAGGGAAGCAGATGCCACAACCAAAAGGAGGTTCTGTGGAAGAAACATTTAGAATTGTCAAGGAGACTCTCAGTGAGGACACTGTTAAAGCCGCTCAAGCAGTCTATCAGTTTGAACTCTCAGGTGAAGATGGTGGAACATGGTTTCTTGATCTTAAAAGCAAGGGTGGGAATGTTGGATGTGGAGAGCCCCCTGCCCAGGCAGATGTGGTGATGAGTATATCTACTGAAGATTTTATCAAAATGTTTTCTGGGAAACTAAATCCAACAATGGCATTCATGTCAGGAAAATGGAAGATTAAAGGTAACATGGCCCTAGCAATCAAATTGGATAAGTTAATGACTCAGATGAATGCCAGACTGTGAAGGAAAATAAAATGTTGACCACTGAGCTCGACAAGTAAAAAGCCCAACTGTTTAAAATCAGATGTTTTCTTCCCTATTGTATAATAAGGATATATGCATGTTTGTCTTGAAAAAAATGCAATTTCTCTATCTGTAACACTTGAAATTGTAATTAAAACAGCTAATCATATATAAGCTTCATTAAATGGAATTCTAAGACATTCAGGTTTTTATATTTTGTGAGTTTTGCTCTCGGAGCCTTATATCTCGTTTACCATTTTCTTCTAGGAAAGTGTAATGAGCAGTCAATCTGGGTCAAGCAGTACAGTTATCTCTTTTCATAGCTTCTTCCCATGTAAAATGATTGGTCTGTTTAAAATTTTTAGTTTTGGATTGTATACTCCTGAGAATCCTAATGGTGTTTTAAACCTTTCTATGCTTATTTTAATGAAAATCTACAATGTATTTTCACAGAAATCACATAATAAACTACTTAGTAAATACAAAAAAAGAAAAAAAAATTGACTTTTTTTTTTAAATTGTGCTTTAGGTGAAAGTTTATAGCTCAAGTTAATTTCTCATCTAAAACTTTATACACAATGTTTTGTGACATTGGTTGCAGTCCCCACAATGTGACAGTACACACCCCCTTTCCACCCCAGGTTCCCTGTGTTCATTCATCCAGTTCCTGTCTGTTCTTGCCTTCTTGTCCTGCTTTTGGACAGGAGCTGCTCATTTGGTCTCCTATATTTGATTGAACAAAGAAGTATGTTTCCCATATGTGTTATTTTTTGTTTTATAGGCCTGTCTAATCTTTGTCTGAAAAGTGGACTTCAGTAATGGTTTCAGTTTGGGGTTAGCAGAGTGTCCGGGGGCCATAGTTTCAGGGGTTCCTCCAGTCTCTGTCAGACCAGTAAGTCTGGTCTTATTATGTGAATTTGAATTCTGTTCTACATTTTTCTCCTATTCTGTTTGAGACTCTCTGTTGTGATCCCTGTCAGGGCAGTCGTTGATGATAGCCGGGCACCATCTAGTTCTTGTCTCAGGCTGATGGAGTTTCTGGTTCTTTTGGTCCTTTAGTCTTTTAGGCTAATATTTTCCTTGTGTTTTTGGTTTTCTTCATTCTCCTGTGCTCCGGGTGGGATGGGACCAATAGATGTATCTTAGATGGCCACTCGCAGGCTTTTAAAACCCCAGATGCTACTCAGCAAAGTGGGATGTAGAACATTTTCTTTATAAGCTATGTTATGCCTAGATGTCCCCTTAGACTATAGTCCCCAGGCCCCAGCCCCAGCTACTCAGTCCCTGAAAGTGTTTGGATATGTCTAGGAAACTTCTATGCTTTTGCTTTGGTCCAGTTGTGCTGACTTCCCCTATATTGTGTTTTGTCCTTCCCTTCACTGAAGTTGACACTTGTCTACTATCTAGCTAGTGATTGCCTCTCCCACCCCCCACCATCGTAACCATCAAAGAATGCTTTTTTCTGTGTGTAAACCTTTTATTGAGTTCTTGTAATAGTGGTCTCATACAATATTTGTCCTTGTGTGACTGACTTATTTCACTCAGCATAATGCCCTCCAGATTCATCCATGTTGTGAGATGTTTCACGGATTCATCATTGTTCTTTATCATTGCATAGTATTCCATTATGTGTTATGTACCATAATTTGTTTATCCACTCATCTGTTGATGGGCATTTAGGTTGTTTCCATCTTTTTGCTACTGTGAATAATGCTGCAATGAACACGGGTGTGCATATGTCTATTCATGTGAGGGCTCTTATTTCTCTAGGGTGTATTGCTAGGAGTGGGATTCCTGGATAGTAAAATCACTGACTTTTAAAGAATATAATAAAGAATAATAGTCTTTTATGTTTATACTCAATGAGAAGAAACAGCTGTAAACATCCATTAGTAATCGGAATGTGGAATGCACAAAGTATGAATCAAGGAAAATTGGAAGTCATCAAAAATGAGATGGAATGCTTGAAGATCGACATCCTAGGCATTAATGAGCTGAATTGGACCGGCATTGGCCATTTTGAATCGGATAATCATATGGCCCCCTCTGCCGGGAATGACAAATTAAAGAGGAATGGTGTCACATTCATCATCAAAAAGAACATTTCAAGATTTATCCTGAAGTATAACACCATTGATAATAGGATAATATCCATATGCCTACAAGGAAGACCAGTTAATACGACTGTTATTCAAATTTACACACGAACCACTAATGCCAAAGATGGAGACACACTGAAGATTTTTATCAACTTCTGCAGTCTAAAATTGATCAAACATGCAGTCAAGATGCATTGATAATTACTGGTGATTGGAATATGAAAATTGGAAACAAAGAAAAAGGATCAGTAGTTGGAAAATATGGCCTTGGTGATAGAAACATTGCCAGAGATTGCATGATAGAATTTTGCAAGACCAATAATGTATTTATGGGAAATAACTTTTTCCAATAACATAAGCAGTGATTATACTCATGGACCTTGCTGGATGGAATACACAGACATCAAATTGCCTACATCTGTGGAAAGAGATGTTGGAGAAGCTCAATATCATCAGTCAAAACAAGGCCAGGGACCAACTGCAGAACAGACCATCAATTACTCATATGCAAATTAAAGTTGAAGCTGAAAAAAATTAAAACAAGTCCACAAAAGCCAAAGTATAACCTTGAATATATGCCACCTGAATTTAGAGACCATCTCAAGAATAGATTTGATGCATTGAACACTAATGACCAGAAAAGTTGAGAGATGACATCAAGGACATAATACATGAAGAAAGCAAAAATTTATTAAAAAAACAGGAAATAAAAGACCAAAATGAGTGTCAGAAGTGACTCTGAAACTTGCTCTTGAAGGTAAAGTAGCTAAAGTTAATGGAAGAAATGATGAAGTAGAAGAGCTGAACAAGAGATTTCAAAGGGTGGCTCAAGAAGACAAGATAATGTAATGAGATGTTCAAAAACCTGAAGGTAGAAAACCGAAAGGGAAGAACTTGCTTGGCATATCTCAAGCTGAAAGAATTGAAGGAAAAATCCAAACTTTGAATTGCAATATTGAAGGATTCGGCTGCTAACCGAAAGTTCAGTGGTTCTAACCCACCAGCTGCCCTGCGGGAGAAAAATATGGCAGTCTGTTTCTGTAAAGATTTACAGCCTTTGAAACCCTGTGGGGCAGGTTTACTCTGTACTATAGGGTCATTATGAGTAGGAATCAAGTCAATGGCAATGGGTTTGGTGTTTGGTTTTATGGGCAAAAAATGGAATGATGCAGGAAACATCAAAAGAAGATGAAAGAAATAGAATTACTGTACCAAAAAGAATTGGTCGATGTTTATACCATTTCAGGAAGTAGAATATGATCAAGAACTGATGGTGTTGAAGGAAGAATCCCAGTTTGCATTGAAGGCATTGGCAAAAAACAAGGCTCCAGGAATGCACAGAATATCAACTGAGATGCTTCAACAAACGATTGCAGCACTAGAAGTGCTCACTCATATATGCCAAGAAATTTAACTACCTGACTGGAAGAGATCCATATACATGCCCATTCCAAAGAAAGGTGATCCATCGGAATGCAGAAATTATCAGACAATATCATTAACATCACATGAAAATAAAATTTTGCTGAAGATAATTTAAAAACGGTTGCGGCCGTACATCGACAGGGAACTGCCAGAAATTCAAACTGGATTCAGAAGAGGACGTGGAAGGAGGAATATCATTGCTGATGTCAGATCAATCTTGGTTGAAAGCAGAGAATACCAGAAATATGTTTACCTGTATTTTATTGACTGTGCAAAGGCATTTGACTGTGTGAATCATAACAAATTATGGATGGATAATATTGTGAAGAATAGGAATGCCAGAACACTTAATTGTGGTCATGCAGAACCTGTACATAGACCAAGAGGCAGTTGTTCAAACAAAACAAGGGGATACTTCATGGTTTAAAGTCAGAAACTGGAAATTTTTTTGTATTATTTCTTCAGATGTTTTTTCTGCCCATTTTCTCCCTCTTCTGCCTTTGGGTCTCCTAATAAACTACTTGATACTGTCCCAAAGATCATTGAGGCTTTGTTCTTTTTTTTTTTTTTTTTTTGCATCTGTGCTTTAATTTGGTTGATTTCTGTAGCTATCTTCTAGTTTACTGTTATTTTATTACCTTATTTCCTATCCGCTCTCTATCCTATCAGTATTAGTTGCTTATTGCTGGTATAACAAGTTATCACAGTCTTAGCAGCTAAAACAATACAAATTCATTATCTTAAACTTCTGGAGGTCAGAAGGCTGAAATGGGTCTCACTGGGCTAAAATCAAGTGTCAGCAGGCCTTTCCGGAGACTCTAAAGAAGAATCCATTTTCTTGCCTTTTACAGATGTAGAAGCTCTGCCTGCATTTCTTCTCATGACCCCCTTCCATCTTCAAAGCCAGCAATTACTGGTCAAGTCTTTCTCACATTCCTTCACTCTGGAATTGATACTTCTTCCTCCCTCTTCCACATTTAAGAACCCTTGTGGTTATATTTGGAGCCCTGGTGGTGCAGTGGTTAAGAGCTTGGCTGGTTATATTCTGGTCCCTGGATGGCACAGACAGTTTGCTGTTGACTACTAACTGAAAGATTGGCAGTTTGAACCCACCCAGTGGCACCATGGAAGAAAGGCCTGGTGATTTGTGTCTATAAAGGTTACAGCCAAGAAAACCCTATGGAGTAATTCTACTCTGTAACACATAGGGTTACCATGAGTCAGAATTGACACCTCAGTTTTTAAAAGTTCTGTGATTATTAGGTACATTAGCCCTTTATCTGTGATACATGTTTCAAATATTTTCTCCCAGTGTGTCATTTGTCTTTTGACTTTGCTCGATGTGTCTTGCCATGTAAACTTTTCTGTTTTTATGAATCAAATTTATCAGTCTTCTCTTTTATTTACTTTGGATTCTTAGCTGTTCTAACAGAGCTTTGCCCTACACCCCAGTTAAAGAAAGATTCATCCATGTTTTCATTTAGAGCTTGTATAGTTCATTTTTTATATTTAGATTTCTAAGTATATACTGTATAATTCCATTTGTGTTTAACTCTTAAACAGGGTAAACTAAAATACGGCTATAGAAATCAGAATAATGGTAACCTTTGGGTGTTAGCACTAGAACTTGACTGAGAAAGGGACTTGCAGGAACTTTATGGGATGATGGAAATTTCTATATCTTGTTAAGGGTGTCAATTACTTGGGTATCTGTATTTGTCAAAACTGACCAAATGGTACATTTAAGATAATGTGCATTTCACTGTATGTAAATTATGCCTCAGAAATATATATAGATAATCCTAAGAAAGGTAACATAAAATAGTGTACCCATGAAACAAGAACAGGATGCTTCAAAGGAAGTTGGGGAAACCTGGAGAAAAGAAATACCTCTTGGAAAGTAAATCTGTGACAGCCAAAATTAAAAATTCAATAGAATAATAAAGACAAAGTCAAGAATGTCAATCAGAAAAGAGAACCAAAAGATAGAGATGGAAAAATGAGAAAATTAGAAGATCAATCCAGAAAGACTAATAAGAGCTCCACAACATAGAACTTTCTAGTAATAACAGCTCTTC